AAAAAAAAAAAAAAAAAAAAAGAGATACTTCTACTTCAGCCTCCCATGGTGTCGTGAGCCACCATGCCCAACTCTAAAGGTAATTTTATATAATATTCTTAGCAATTTGGTACATGAAAGTTTTGACTGCATTTTGACTGTGCCCCCATCATGAGGTCAGGTGTGGAATTTCCTACTTCTGACATCAGGTCAGCAATCAGTTTCAGATTTTGAAGCATTTCAAATTTTCAGATTAAGGACGTTTAACTTGTTTAATGGGTGAGTTTTTTCTCTTTTGACTCTCAGGATAATCCATCAGTGAATGCAACCCCTTCTTGTTACAGACAAGAAACTAAGGCTTAGAAACATGAAATATAACAATGTAAAAGAAAGTAACCTTGAAGAAGAATTACGAACTCAGGAGATTTGACATACTCCTCCAAGATCCTGTATTATCAACTCTATACCAGTATTTTTCATACTACTGGTCTTAGTAGGTTATCAAATCAATTTAGTGTATAATGATGAGCATTTTTTTTAATACCTCAGTATAGAAGAGAAAATTAATGAACATGAAGAGTAAACACTATTTTGTGAAATTTTTTGGTTATATGGGTATGTATGTACTATGTTGCAATGTAAAACACTTCTTACTGTGGGACTCAATAAAATTGTGTGAAAATCATTGCTCCAATCTACATACTGCCACCAAAGAAATAAATAAGTTAATTTGATGGGTTTTGTATCATATCTTAACTCATAAAATAGCTTCTGCTCTTCAAAAGCCTATCCCTTCCATTTACAGAAAATTTCAGTGGCATCCCAAGGTTGTCCTTAATACTTGCTGAGTTCAAGCAACCTCAAAATAGATCTGTCAATTAGCATATAAAAACAATTACAAAAATTTCAGTACTACATCACTGTAGTTATTAACTGGCTATTTAATGTGAAAGCAATTCCTCACAAAAAGCATCTTTATTGCCAACCTTAGGAAGGCAAAGCATGGGAACCCACAGAGCGTAGGGGGAAAGTTAGGTTACCTGTTAAGACCTGACCTGCGTGTTCTCTATCTCCACAGGCAGCAAGTCTAAAATCAAAGCTCAATTTAGATGAAAACACCAAAACATATCTGTAGCCAAAGTCTTTGAGGCAAATCACTTTCAAAAGCATGAAAAGAATCTCCATGTTGCCCATTTTTAAATAACTTCAGGAAAGCCCCTAAAACATAAAATTGCCTGACACATAACAGCATTCAATGAATGAATAAATAGTAAGCCACTTAGTCTCTCCTTTTTAACATTTATCCAGACGCTAAAGCAAAATTTTATTCAGAATTCTGAAACGAACTGTATGGAATAAAGTTAGATTGCAAAATTAACGTCCCACTCAAGTCACCAATAGCAAATTCTGCAATTCATCCCAGAAATTCTGTATAAACTACCTTCTGTGCAACGATGATGGCTTTCCCCGCTGCTTCTGAAAATCAATTCTGATTGTTGGAAAATAGAACCCTCTGCACTGTTAGCTGGTATAACTGCCTGCGAGTGGTTAAGTTGATTCATGCTAGGGCACCACGGTTTGACAGCTCTCTGGACCCTCCTGGCTGACTCTTCAGAAGCCCTATTCCATCTCTAATTCTGGTGGTCTGGAGAATTTCAAACATTTAACTCAACATAAACTACTAATAATCAACTTTCAAAGGTCAAAGGGGACCAGTTTTTAACCTTCCCTCAACACGTGTTCAGTACAAACTTCCGGGTGCAGCTACAATTGGCTGCGCAATTCAATGGATAAAAACGTTGCTTTATTTGACTTTCATTTTCTTGCCCGTTCTTTTCCCACGTTTCTCAACCACCGACTCTCCAAACGAAAAGCCTCCCACAGTAAACGGAGCACCGACATAGAAAGAGCTTCTCCGTGCAAGGATCAAGTTAGTGGTCCGCAAACATTAACCAAATACAAGCACAAAGCCGGGTTGGAAAGGGGAGGAGCTGGATGCCAGGGTCAGGAAAAAAACAATCACCGGGGTTCAGGAACATCCAAATCTCCATAGCGGTTAAACCGACCTCAAACCACTTTTGGGAAACCACCAGCCTACACTGCTTTGGGGAACTTTAGATGCTCGTTATGCCAAACACTCTGAAAGTAAGCAAATTCCCAACCGCCGTTCCCCTTCATAGATGCATCCTTAAGGGTCTGGGAGGTGAGCTAGCTCATTTCGGGCAAAACTAAGCTAACCACCGGCAGAGACATGAGGGTAGCCCGCACGTGTCCCCCGCACCTTCCCCCAGCGCCCTAAGAGCGAGGTACTCAGAAGATCACCAGTGTGGGCTACAGATTTAGGGAGGACAACCCCGTCGCCTGCCCCCGCCCCCCCGTCCGCCCTAAACCGAGAGCAATGCTGGGGCAAGAGGAAAGACTTGGGAAGGATCTAGACCTTACTTTCCCTGCGGGTCCGGGACCTCGCAGCCCCCGGGTCGTACGCGGTAAGCAAACGGGGCGACCGAAGGGGAGCCGGAGAGAGCAGACTCCACCTCTCCGGTCCAAGGAGGGGTGGCTCCGGCCCGGGACAGCGGGGATCCGGGGGCCCTAGAACCCCACGCGCGGCGACCGCAGGGCCCGGCGCTGACGGGCGGAGGAAGCGGGTGTAGCGGGGCCGCCGCCGGGAGCATACCCCTGAGGGCTCCGGAATGCGCGGCTGCGGGGGGCGGCGAGCGGGGAGGGAGGCCCCAAGCCGGGGTGAGGTGGCTGCCCCCCTCAGCCCGGCCCCACACGGCCCCCCGAAGAGGGTGGGAGTGGGAGGCTGTCCGAGAGGGAGTGTGGAAGGAAAAAAGGACTACGAGAAGGACTTACTTTCCCTGCGGGACCCGACGCCAGCACAGCTTCTCCCGGGCGGTGAGAGCTTGAAGGACCAAAGGCGACTGGAGCGGAGGCGGCGGCGGCGGTGACGGCGGCAGCAGCGGCGTCCGGCTCTGCCTAGCTCCCCGCCGCCATCTTGACGCCCCTCCCCCAGCCCCCCGCCCGCCGGGAGGGGCGGGAGGAGGGGCGACGGCTGAGGCGCCGCGCGCACGCAACGCGCGCCGCGCGCCCCACGTGACTTCCTCCCTCCCCCGCCCCCCACCCAGCTCCCCTGCGCCCCTCTCCGCCCCGCCTCCCTCCTAGGTGAAGGAAGACGATTCCCCCCCCCATTTTGACCGCCTCCTGCCTTCGCCGCCAAAAACGGACTACCCCGGCTCCCGCCGGCCCGGTACCAGTGGTTGGATCCAAGGGAATTCCGGAACCCAAACGGTCCATTACCGCGGCTCTGGGGTGGGAGAGGGGTGAGGGGGCCGGGTTTCCGAGAAGGGGGAGGGGGGAAGGCGAAGGCCGCCTACGAGAGTCACGTGTCTAGTGTTTCCGCCGGCGTTCACAAAAACCTCGCGAGAATTCCGTTGCCCCGCCCTTTTTCCCCGCAGGCTCTCGGGAAGAAGGTCTGCGTCCTGGGGTGCCACCGGGAGGTCAGCCGGTGGGCCGCGCGCATGCGTCCCGCACCTGCTTTCAAAGTCGAGCTAGGAGGGGCCCGAGCTGTTTTCAGAACCCTTTCGGTGGGTAGCTAGGGCCCAGGAAGTTGCCTCGTGGCGTTTTTGTCACTGTGGATAGCTCTTCATTTCCTAGTCGACCCTAGAAAAAAATTGCGCGTATTCATTTCTTGTTAGGCTCGCTCAGAGCACTTTATTATAGAGTGTGAAGCGCAAGTAGCTCGGAGCCCCTCGGCGCGTCCACTGCCATGATCGTGACCTGGGAGCGTGAGCACCGTCATCCCTTCTCCTCACACCCGCTCACCCGGGCACGCTGCCGCTTCCATTAATCAACGCTGCAGAATGGGTCTGTCCCACCACTTCCCACTTCCTTACTTTCATCATTTAATCATTATGAAGTGACCTAACGCAATAAACGTACTAACTTCTTGCGAACCCTTTTGTAAAGTCATTCTGAAAATGCTGCCGGACTCCGTTGCTTAGGTAATAGGCACGCCCGGGTGACTCTTGCCCCCTACCGGCTGCGCGTCCCACTCGCCGCCCGCTGAACGCGCACAGAATAGTTGGAACAGTTGGAGGTTAAAGTGTGAACTCTTCCAGAGAAAGTAGCGAATGTGGGGGGAAGAAGGGGAGAAAAGTAGGCATTGCAAGAATAATCATGAATCTTCCAACTAAGCATTTGCATACATAAATATGTATCATATGTGTGTACACATATATAAATAAATATTTAAAAGTGCGGACTAATCACTTTGCTAATCATTTTACCTCCATTATTTACTGCTCACACACACCAAAAAAAACCCTATAAAGACAAAAATAATAAAAATATTTCCATAAAAACAAGGACCTCCTCCGTCTCGTTCACTGCCATTCCCTCGCTTATGGTCCAGTGCAGATAACAGCACATAAGCAATTAAAGGTCTATATGTTACAAAAGGAGAAAGCAATAGAGAAGAATGCAGTAAAGAGAGCTAAGGCGTTCTAATAAATACAGCAGTATCCTTGGAGCTTGGTTAGCACAATTCTGTTTCCAAGTGACCCCCAACTCTAGTTGCATGCTAGTACTAGATGAGTGTTAAGATTCTGAAAGCGAGACCCGATGTAGATACTCCCAATTTTGAGGTACTTTCTGAGCATCCAGGCCATATCCTTGCAGACATCTATGCATCATCTCCTTACCTGGAACCACAGGTAAAGATGATGTTTCAGGGGATATGTACAGCAGCCTATATGCACACAAATGTACAAGACTATTCATTGCAGCATTATTTGTAGAAACAAGAGATTGGAAACAACCTAAATGTCTTTGAAGAAGGACTGGTTATCTAAATTATTGTACTTTACAATGCAACAGTGGTTCAAAAGAATGAAAGAATGTGGCACCTCAGTAAGTGCGTGTATGTATGTGCACATACATATGTACAGTAGTCCCTCTGTATCCATGAGGGGACTGTTTCAGGACCAACCATGGATACCAAAATCCAAAGTGCTCAGGTCCCCTATATAAAATGTCATAGCAGGTCAGGTGCAGTGGCTCAGCCTATAATCTCAGCACTTTGAGAGGCCAAGGCAGGAAGATCTCTTGAGGCCAGGTGTTTGAGACCAGCCTGGACAACATAGCAAGATCCCATCTCTAAAAAAAATTTTTAAAAATTAGCCGGGTATGGTGCCAGCTACTTGGGAGGCTGAGGTGGGAAAATTGCTTGAACCCAGGAGTTTGAGATAGTACGCTATGATCATACCATTGCACTCCAGCCAGGGGCAACAGAGCAAGACTCTGTTTCCCCCCCCCAAAAAAAAAAGGTCATAGTATTAGTATTTGTATATAACTATGCACATCCTCATGTATACATGTTTTTTATTTGTATTGAGATGAGGTCTGTGTTGCCCAGGCTGGTCTCAAACTCCTGGGCTCAAGCAACCCTCCTCAGCCTCTTGAGTAGCTGTGACTATAGGCACATGCCACTGCACCCGGCAGCCTCCTATATACTTTAAATCATCTCTAGAGTACTTACAATACATCATACAATGTAAATAGCTGTTATACTGTATTTTTATTTGTATTATTTTTATTGTTTTATCATTTTTTTTTATCTTTTTAAATATTTTCAGTCCGAGATTGGTTGAATCCACCAATGTGGAATCCACACATATGGAGAGCCAACTGTACATGATTTGTTTGCATGAACATAGACCATCTCTGAAAGACAATACAATTAACAGCAGTTGCATCAAGATATAGGAACTAAGATACTGAGGGTCAGAGGTGAGAAGAAGACTTAGCCACTGCACCCGGAACAGGGATGCTACTGGAAGCAGATGATTCAGAAAAATCTCTATTCAGTGAGATATTGACTTCCCTTTGGCTATTTACACAGCATTTCAACAAATATTTACAAGTGCACATATTATGTATTAGACCCTATTGTTAAGGGTTAGGGATACAACTTTAAGAAAAACAAATGGGTGGAGGAATGGTCCCTGCCCTTGAAATTAAATGCTCTTATAGTCCAATGGACACTAACCGAAAAATTACACAAAATATAAAAT